CTCACTTTGATGACTAAACCATTGAAGAATTTCACTTCCTGGAACTACCAATCTAAACACAGTGTCATTTCGTAAAGCTATCTCATGGATGTCAGATCTCTCTCTCAAATTTGGCGCTTTCTGTACACAAAAAAATGAAAAAAAAAATTAAGAACAAAAAAGTCATACTGTTGAATAAACGTTCAAAAACGGAGATAAATATACAGAGAAAAGGAGACTGACCTTATTAAGATGTTCTTTCAACATTGAAAATGCCATATTGCTGCATCCGGTCAATTTCAAGCAGTTTCCAAATGAAATATTCAACAAATTTTAATTGCAAGTCTTCCTCATATATTGGATGGATCCCATAACTTCTCATCTCCAATGCTGGCCCCCGCCTAAATGAAATCTCCATCTGGTCATATCTATTACGAAGGAGCCATTTACTACTCTTCCTAGAAAAATATAGTAGCCAAAGATGGTCCGAATCAATTTGGCCAAACTGCTCCTCAAAATCAGAACCCAACCATCCTTTCATCTCGCATCTAGCCTCATGTGAGCAGTTATCCCCACGTGTAGGCAGATGCTTATGGACAGTAAAAACAGAGCACACAACATATCCCACCAACTTACTACTATTATACAAATATGGCGGCCTTTCTATTCGTATTATACAACCCTCACGCTGATCACTCAACTTACCATTTCTATATATATCTGGAGCCTTTTCTATTCTTATTGAACAACCCTCACTGATATAGGATCTCTGAAGATCTATTGCAAATTCTGTCCTCAATCAGTGCAGAATTTCTTGCTAAGTTTAAGCTATTACAAGTTCCGTAATTTCCCTTATTTTAGGCTTATGTTTGACCTTTCTCATTATCATCATTTTAGGCTTAAGTTAGGTTGCTAATTGTCTTAATTTAAGGAGTCTAGTTTGAATAATTTTATTCCTTTCCTTATTTCAGTTCGTAAGCTCTTATCTATAAAAAAAAGATTACTATGAACCTCGTAAGCACTTCTGATGAGATATAAAATTTATCTCTTTGAGAGTTTCTTCCCCTTGTGGATTCAAGGAGTTTTGGTGGATTCCAAAGTTATCGTTAGCGTCAGAATGATATTTGACCCATCTTTGCTTTCGTCTGTGTCAATGGTATCAGAGCTCTTAGTATCCTGGTATGGAAGACAACAGAAACAAAGCAACACTCACTAATGAGGATGATCGTGAAATGCAGACCCTTTGGGAGGCAGTCTGTGCTCAAGAGGAGAGATCCGAGTGCCAATATCGAGAACTTCGTGATGTAATCTGTTGTAAACTAATCCTAATCTTCTCAAATCACAACATCAATTTCAGATCAAAACAAACAAGACAAGAAATCAACAATCACACAAGATATATCATGGTTCGCTTGTTCTATATAGAACAAGTTACATCCACGTCGAACTCCATAATATGGAGCTCACTACACTTTGATTAATCACTTCAACGAATACAGATTACAATCAACTTCCCTTTCTGTCAACAACACAAACACTCATTCACCCCTATTCTCTTTATACCAGTAAATCTGCACACTCACCAGAGTACTCACAACCCTTGAAGGAATTTCCAACCCTCAATCAAGACTCTAGATAGATTACACAAAGAAGAATCAAACTAGAATGGCTAACCCTAACCCAAGGTTTACCATCGTGTTTTTACAGAGAAAAGAAAGAAAACCTAANTTTCCTTACCTTAGTAGTCAAAGCAAAAGGCACTCCTACTTGGCTTCAAAGGTTTACCTTTCTACCTTACACATATAACCACTTATGAATTTCTCTTTTAACTAAAAGATCAGAAAAACTAGGGTTTTGAAAATCACCTTTAACCCTGAAATTGAATTTCTTTTAGTGTGGATGGTGATCTCCTTTGAAAACCAACTTGAAATCCTATGAAAATTTGAGAATAAAATGCTTGAATTAGTGGCTTTTATGGTGGATTTGAGAGATGAAGAAGAAGATGATGCACTTGGGGTGTAAAAGGCCGAATCCTCTCACTTAAAATCTTGTAAATATTTATTCCATTGTTGCTCTAATGTGATTGGTCANTGAAATGTTCTCTTTTATACCGTTGACTGCAAATTGAGCTGGAGCCGTTGGATCTCCCTTAAATGAATGGTCGTGATCATCTTGGACTAATACGCAAAGACGACAGCGTTTTTACTTAGCTTAAACGACGTCGCAGACTTCATTATTTAACAATCTCCACCTTGAAGTCTGTGGCGGTCTCTTCTAGCAGTATCTTTTTTTGTGCAACAAGCAGTTTCCATATTCCTTATTGGTTCTAATAGGTTATCCCACATGCAATAAGTTCAAGCAGTGCTTGAACTTTGCAAGTGTTACAACCTTGGTTCCCATGTCTGCTGGGTTGTTTTCGGTTGGGATCTTCAGTAGGTTCAATTCTCTTTTGGAGATCATATCTCTTAAAAAATGGTACCTTACGTCAACGTGTTTAGTTCTCTCATGGTACACGGGGTTCTTTCCCAGATGAATGGCACTCTGACTGTCTGAATAGACAGTCACAGTTCCATCCAGCAGCTTGGCCTCTTTTAGGAACCCTTGAAGCCATATGGCTTCTTTGAATGCATCGGTTACAGCCACATATTCCACTTCTGTTGTGGACAGTGCTACCAGTGGCTGTAATTGGGACTTCCAACTAATGCAGTTGCCTCCCAAGGTAAACTGGTAAGCTGTTATGGATTTTCGGGATTCTTTATCACTTGCAAAATCAGAATCTACATACCCAACCAGATCAAGTGAGGAGTTTCTTTTACAGAAATTTAGACCAACATGCACAGTACTTTTAATGTACCTAAGAAGCCATTTTAAAGCATTCCAATGATCACATCCAGGATTCGACATAAATCTACTTAAAAGTGATATTGAATATGATAAGTCAGGTCTTGTACTAATCATAGAATACATAACAGAGCCAATAGCATTTGCATATGGTATGGATTCCATCTTTAATCTTTCAGGTTCTGTTTTCGGGCTTTGGGCTTTACTAAGGATGAAGTGACTAGCTAGGGGCATTGAGGCACATTTAGAGTCATTCATTCCAAATTTTAACACAAGTTTCTATAGATAAGGCATCTGGTGAAGTTTTAGACTGTAATTTTTTCTATTTCTTTCTATTAGCATTCCTAATATTTTCTTTGCATAGCCTAAATCCTTCATGTCAAATTCAGCATGGAATTTTCCTTTCAACTCCTCAATTTGGACCTTGGATTTACTAATTAATAACATGTCATCAACGTATAATAACAAATATACAGGATTTGTATCCACATGTGCAAAATAAAAACAGTTATCATGCTCACTTCTAGTAAATCCTATACCTACTATAAAAGAGTCAAACCTCTTGTACCACTGCCTAGGTGACTGTTTGAGTCCATACATAGATTTATGCAGCAAACATACATGATTACGAAACTGTTTATCCCTAAACCCCATGGGTTGGCTCATATAAATTTGTTCTTCTAATTCCCCATGCAAAAATGCAGTTTTTACATCTAACTGCTCTAACTCTAACTCTAAATCATAATGAGCTACTATAGATAACATCAATCTTATAGTTTTGAATTTAACAACAGGGGAAAAAATTTCAGTGAAGTCTATACCTGCCCGCTAGGTGTAGCCTTTGGCCACTAATCTGGCCTTATACCTTGGTGGGTCAGACTTGTCAATGCCCTCCTTTAGCTTGTACAGCCACTTGCAGTCCACTAGCTTGACATCCTTGGGTTTTGGGACCAAAATCCAAGTTTTGTTCTACCTTAAGGAGTCCATCTCCTTATTCATGGCAGTGAGCCAATTTTTCCTATCTTTTGAGTTTATGGCTTGTTCATAAGAGTCAGGTTCTATCCTCTGAATCTCTACTCCAGCAAGCAGGGCTGTGTAGATGAGATCTGTATAACTGAACCTTGCAGGTGGTCTTATTTCCCTCCTTGTTCTGTCTTTGGCTAGTTGGTACTGTGCCATATCTTCTTGTTGGGCATTCTCAATGTTTTCCTTATTCTCCTCTTCATCATCATGTTCAGTATCAGTTGTAGTGTGCATAGGTTCAAATTATGGTCCTTGATTGTTGATTTTAGGTTCTTGGTGGTTGGTTGACTCCACCTCAAACTGAGTACTCTCGGTTTGCTATGGAGTCTCCACTTGGTAGTTTGAGGTACCTGCATTGGTGTTAGTAACCCTACAAGGGAACACACATTTTTTAAATACAACATCTCTATCGATGATGACCTTAACCCCTAGAGTTTCTCTCCCCCACAGCCTATATCCCTTGGTCCCTTCATGATACCCCAAAAACACACATCTTAGGGACCTTGGTTCTAATTTTCCATCTGTTGTGTGTGCATGGGCTGCACATACGAATACTCTTAGGTGGCTGAGTGAGGGTTTTCTTCCTGTCCATTTTTCTTCAGGGCATATGAAACCAGCTGCACTAGAGGGAGTCCTATTTACTAAATAGGCAGCAGTGGTTAAAGCCTCCCCCCAAAAGGACTTAGGTAGTCCAGCTGTGAAAATGAGGCACCTAACCTTCTCTAACAGTGTCCTGTTCATCCTCTCAGCAACTCCGTTTTGCTGGGGAGTTCTCCTAACTGTCCTATGTCTCATAATACCTCGGTCTCTATAGTATGTGTTGGAGATCCCATATCAACTAGGCACACTCAAGCCAATGGGTTTATAAGAGTGGACAATCCTCCCACTCAATAAGGCCTTTTGAGTGAGGAGTTAGGCCCAACTCAAATTCTAACATGGTATCAGAGCCAGCCCCATTTGAGCTGAGTGATTGACCAGCGGTGGGCTGCCAAACTACCTCCATTCATAGGCAAGTGGACCATATGGGCTTGACCGTGAGGGGGAGTGTTGGAGATCCCATATCGACTAGGCACACTCAAGCCAATGGGTTTATAAGAGTGGACAATCCTCCCACTCAATAAGGCCTTTTGAGTGAGGAGTTAGGCCCAACTCAAATTCTAACAGTATGCATCAAACTCAGTATTACAGAACTCCAAAGCATTGTCAGTTCTGAGTGCTTTTACTTTTTTCTCCTGTTGGTTTTCTACTAAAGTCTTCCAACCCTTAAACTTACTTAGTGCCTCATCTTTGGACCTAAGGAGATAAACCCACACCTTCCTACTGAAATCATCCACTATAGCTAGAAAATAACTATTCCCCCCATGTGTTTTGACTCTTTCAAGACCCCAAAGGTCAGCTTGAAGGTATTCTAAACAATTCACAGACAAGTGAGTTCCTTTCGGGAAGCTCGACCTATGCTGCTTACCCATGACACAGGTTTCACAAAGTCCTAAATCTGACACATTTTCATTACCAAAGTATCCCTACTGTTTAAGATAGCTCATAACAGTTTGGCCTATATGGCCCATCCTCAGGTGCCATTTTTCTGCAATTGAAATGTTATTAGATAAAAAAGCAAAGTTAACATTTAATTGATGGTATTGACCACACAATATGTACAGACCATGCCTTTTAACACCTTCAAACAGAATTTGATCATTCTTGTAGACGGTAATGCAACCATTTTCAACCCTATAGCTACAGCCAGTTTCATCCAGTGTGCCTAATGAGATCATATTACGCTTAAGCTCTAGTATATAACATTATGTGTTTGCCACTTTTAAGTTTAATGGTGATATTACCAATCCCTTGAACCCTACATGAGTGATTGTTTCCCATAAACACCATTTCAGGTTCACCAGTTATAAGGTTTTGGAACCAGGTTTTGTTAGGACTCAGGTGAAAAAAACATCCTGAGTCTAGCACCCATTCATTAGCAATTTCTGAACTAGACACAGTAAGGGCTTCAGTGATTTCAATGCTATTACTAGAGGATGCTAAGTTACTCTCAGTACTGGTATGTTTTTGCTTCCTAATCCAATCATAACAATTCTTTTTAATGTGTCCGGACTTGTTACAATGGAAGCATTTTCTTGTCTCTGATTTAGGTTTGTTGTTATAGGGTTTCTTTTCTTCCTATTCTTTAAACCCAAATTCTGTTGGACAGTTTTTTCATTCTCTTTGCCTAAGTGTCCAGTTTCTTGTTTGCCTTTTACAAAGAGGTTATTCCCATTTCTTTTTTGTATTTTCAACTCTAGTTCTCTGGATTTTAGGTCAGCCGTTATCAGATCTACACTAGGGACTGTTCCAGTATACTGCAATGCATTTTTTACTACTAAATATTCATCGGGTAAAGAATTTAACAAAATCATTGTAAGACTAGAATCCCCTAATTCCTGATCAGTTCCTTTTAGCACTAGGGTCATTTTTAGAAATTCATCTAAATTTTCTTCTAATGACTTAGAGGCATCCATTTTGTAAGAAAACATAGCACCTTTCAAGAATGCTAAATTAGGAGCAGATTTCAATGCATATAAAGTTTCGAGTTTACCCCAGAGCTTGATCGGTGTGTCTATACCATCCACTTTCCGCAGAATACTGTCTGATAAATTCATGATTATCAGATTGTAAGCTTCTTCGTCTATCTCTACTTTCTTTTTCATCTTTTCCTCGGACCACTTGGTTCCATCTTTCTCCAGCGCTATTCCCACCTTATTGTGAGATAGAAGAGCCTTCATCTTCTTCTTCCAGGTATTGAAGTCCATCTTCCCATCGTATTGGGATATTTCTACACATGTAGTAGTGCTCATCATCTTTCCAGTGAGAAACCCTAAGATTCAGTTTCTTGATCTTTGACTAACTCTGTTTGATTTGACCTTCTTGTGACACGAAACCACCTCTAGTGTTCAAGATTTTAACCGAAGACTCAAGATTAAGGACCCTAGAGATCAAGAAAACCCTAATAAAAAAAACCCCCAAATTTGTCAAAACCCTAATTTCGCGATTCTGCCTAATTTGGATCGATTTCAAGGATGTCTAAACCCTAGAGTGTAGGCTCTGATACCACAGTTGTAAACTAATCCTAATCTTCTCAAATCACCACATCAATTTCAGATCAAAACAAACAAGACAAGAAATCAACAATCACACAAGATATACCGTGGTTTGCTTGTTCTATATAGAACAAGTTACATCCACGTTGAACTCCAGAATATGGAGCTCGCTGCACTTTGATTAATCACTTTAACCAATACAGATTACAATCAACTTCCCTTTCTATCAACAACACAAACACTCATTCACCCCTTTTCTCTTTATACTAGTAAATCTGCACACTCACCAGAGTACTCACAACCCTTGAAGGAATTTCCAACCCTCAATCAAGACTATAGATAGATTACACAAAGAAGAATCAAACTGGAATGGCTAACCCTAACCCAAGGTTTACAATCGTGTTTTTACAGAGAAAATAAAGAAAACCTAAAAGTGAACTCTCGCAAACAGTGTGTGAAATGTTCTCTTTTATACCGTTGACTGCAAATTGAGCTAGAGCCGTTAGATCTCCCTTAAATGAATGGCTGTGATCATCTTGGACTAATACGCAAAAACGACACCGTTTTTACTTAGCTTAAACGACATCGCAAACTTCATTATTTAACACAATCACTAACCTTGCAATTTTTCAAGGCCATGATGGTGGAAGGAATAACCATGTTGGGGGTCGTAACCAACGTCGACATGTCAACGAGGACAACTCTGATGGATCTGATGATGAACCCATGTTGCACAGAGATACGGAGCGAAATGGTGGAGGCATGAGGAGGTATAATAGGCAGGTTGATGAATACAAACTAAAAGTTGATATTCCAACTTTTTCTGGAAACCTGGATATAGAAGCTTTTCTTGATTGGCTTTGTGAGGTTGAAAGATTTTTTGACATAGCAGAGATAGCGGAAGAAAAACAAGTCAAAATTGTGGCCTATAAGCTAAAAGGGGGAACGTCTTCTTGGTGAGAGCAATTGCAAAATTCTTTTCATCGTCAAGGTAAAGCCCCTATCAAGCAATAGCCTAAGATGAAGCAGAAGCTAAAAGGTAGATTTTTGCCCCCATATTACCAACAGCTCTTATTTCAAAAGTTCCATAACCGCATCCAAGGAACTAGAACTGTCACAGCTTATACTGAGGAGTTTCTTCGACTTTCCTCGCAAAATGACTTGTCAGAAACCTAGGAACAACAACCAGCTAGGTACGTCAATGGATTGATAAATTCGATCCAAGACCGAATGGGCGTGCAAAGTATTTTAACAATTGATCAAACACATAACATGGCACTAAAGGCTGAGAGGCTCTTAGAAAAACCATCCACTCAACAAAGCCAGTTCGATACTTCACGCCAACCGTTAGCACTTGAGAAGCAACCAACCACTTTCCATTCCCAATCGCCCACTGCAAGTTTCTCCACAACAAGAACATGCTCTTGATGTAAGAACCTGACTTCCAGTTTTGGTAAAATGAAGCAAACCTATAAAAGAAAAATACAATTTATTGTCAGTTAGCAATTAAACCTAGGTCGATTGATTCGTGACGAGCGGAAGCTCGATTCGATTATCGTCGAGCAGATGACGAGTTTGAGCGCAAGTTGAAGCTCGCAAAAATAGTCAAGCAGATTGGGGCTCGAATCGAGCTGCTCGCGATCTTTACTGAAGCTCGCATCGTCAGTCGAGTTGTTCAGCTCGTTACTCGATCGATCGTTCGTGGGATCTCACCTCAAATAACATTTACCCTAAAATGAAAACAAAACCACAACACTCACTACAGCAGTCGCAAAACCCCCAAAACTACCACTACTCAGTCGCAAAATCCCTAATCAGCCACCTTAGTCTTCACATCTTCAGATTGCTTTGAAACATCAGCCACCGTCATCTTCACCGTCATCTACACTTCTTAAATTGTAAACCACATTAGCCAGCCAACCACCATTGTCTTCACTTATTCACACCGTAAGGTCTTAGACGCCGACGAAGCTGCAACATCAGCCACCGTCGTCTTCCCTTCTTCACTTCTAAGCAAGCTAGGTCTTCCAAAGCAGGGAAAGAAGTAGGTAAGATTGTTTGATTATGGTTAGTTCTATGTTTATGTAGCAGTTCCCAAGTGCAAAATCTTATAATTATGTGTTCGAATAGTATGACCATTAAATTAAAATGTTAAACTCTTTAGCAAATAAACCCCACTTATATCAACCTCGTCATCATCCTCTGGAAGTTAGCTACGATGAATTGAATATGGGAATTTGAAAGAAGCTGCGCATTGGAGTTTTATTCATATTTTCAACCAAGAAAATTGTCTTATTAGTTAAATAAAACAAAGAATGGAAACATGATACCTGTAAAGTTGTAAATGAGGAGTGAGGAGAAAGAGATTTGAGAGGCGACTATACTGAGTCTGAGGGAGTTGCTAGTTGCTACCACAGCCACATATACATATTACGAAATTATCTCATTGGTTTTGTTGTTTTCTCCTACTCAACCAATAAATTATCTTATGGAACCCTAAAGATAGTAATTGGGCCTAGATCTTGTGGTATACACAACCCACTTTATTTTGTTATAAACCATTAATGTAGTGTAATTCCATAAAGATTAATGGAATTGATTGATTGAGAATAGAAAGATAGGTGCCGTGGAGTATGACGATTTGGTGGGTAGTCAATCAAATTTATCATTATTCATCAATAATACATGATGTGAATTGCCTTACATGTTCTTTGCATTATTTCTCCAATCTCTTCGATAAATTCTTTTAAACAATATTATGCTGAAATTTACCTTGGAGATCATATGTTTTTTTCTGGCAACTTGAGATTTTGGAAAAACTTGATGGTGATACAATGATACTCTCTCCTCAACACACAAAGGGTTCAACAAAAATTTTAACGGTCTCCAGAATTTAGGGTAAAATATTGTTTGTTGGTTGGCTCAAAAGCAAAGTAAAAGTGTCATTCTTTCTCTTTCATATGCACCCCGCACTAACAAGTAGCACTGAATTGCACTCTCTGTGTGTCTTGCCTTTATTTTCACCTTTTTTTTTTCTTTTATATATATATATCAAGTACCCACCATACCGCACCGCACCCACTATTAACCTTCTTTCTTTGTTTCAATATGACAGTATCGTCAGTGCTAGTTCATGATAAATTAAAGCTGAATACATCAGAATCAGAGCTACCAAATTAACCTCCATTAGAATCAATAGAATTCATGATTTCGCATTCAAAGTTACAACCAACCATTTACAGTGACTGGGTTATGACTTGTGTATTTTAAGTGTTTAATGGGTTCAATTTAAACCATGTGAAAAATAAAGCAATTGATTAAAGCAGCATGGGCTGTTTGTTTTGTGCGTCATATACCCAGTGCTTGTCCTCTTCAAGAAACTAGGAGAAATTACAAGTCAAAAAGAAACCATAGTAATAAATACCATAAATCATGTCCAAAATTCAACCACTATTCATTAGATTAGTCTGATTGTCAAAGGCTGTAACGCCCCACTTGAGGTACGTAGTTGTTGTTTCTTCTTTCACTCTTATTTGAGTTGGTTTTTGGTAATATTGTTTGATTGAGTGTTGTGTTGAATACTTGCCCTGAAATTGGTGGAAAATAGAAGAAGTTTAGTGTTTCAGTCTTCGCCGGGGCGAAGAAGAATCTTCGCCGCTGCGAAGAGGTGTTAAAGCCATGGGGAAGCTGCTGGACAGTTTCGCCGCGGCGACATAAGTTTCCTCGCCGCGGCGACAGGCCGATTAAAATATTTGTTAAGTTTTAGATATTTTTTTCCCTAAGGGCTATTTGACCATTCTACCCCTAATTAGCAGGAAAAGTGGGGAGTAAATTGTAAGGATTTTTCATGGAGAATATGTTGCTATGGGGGTGTGTTTGTAATGAATCAAAGGATATAGATAGAATTCCCAAAGAAGAGTAAGGGTAAAATGGGAATGCTTGGGTATAAATTTCATTAAAAGGAATTAAGAGTTAGCAAACCCCTCATTCTTCTTCTCAAAAACGCAACTCTCCTCTCTTGTTTCCTCTCAACTTCTCTTTCTTTTGATCAAGGAGTTCCAAGGGGTTTTTGAAGTGATTTGGGGTAGAAAATCAACCTAAGGCATCCTAAGGTAAGGATTCTTACTTTGGTTGTGAAGCTTTGTGAGTTTTAGTATATATTGAATATTGAGGGTTTTTGTTCTTTTGGTTAAGAGTAGAGAAAAAGTCAAGCAAACCAAGTGAAAGGAAGAGTTGGTGAAGTCTCTCCATAACAAGGTAAGTAAATCCCAACCCAAGTTGAGATTTAAGAATTTTCTTGATTAGGGTTTTGATAGAAATGATGTATGTATGTGATATACATGTGATATGCCATGTATGGAGGCTTAAAATGAGATTTCTATGCCTTGTGATTGCTTATACTTTGCAAATATGAGAAATGAGTTGTTGGGTTGGAAAGGTAGTTTGAGATGGAATTGAAGGGGTATTGTGGATCCCTTTTTGGAAGTGTTTTATTTGACAGGTTTTGTGGTTATGTGAAGGGGTTTCTTCCCATTTTGGATGGTTAGAAAAAGTTTTAGATTCATTGCTATAGTAGAGGTTTATAATGCACTTGAGTTGTTTGATGAAATGCCTAATAGAGATTTGAGTATGAGTAGTGAACTTTAACTCTTGCAACATTGCAAGTTGGCATCTCATAAGTGCATTAGTGGAGATGAACCATCCATAGGCACTAGTTGTGCATTGAAAAGTGACCTAAGAAAGAGTAGGAAACTTTGTGTATGGAATCACTCTATGAGTAGAGAGCTTGGTGGATGCAACTCCTCTAAGGGTAGAGAGAATGAAAAATGCTAGAATAGAGTGAATTAGAAGAGGAGTAGAGATGGGTTGATGCTTTGTGATCATCACCCAACAGTTATTAGAGTCGGGTTGATGCTTTGTGATCACCGCCCGAATAGCCCTTAGAGATGGGTCGATGCTTTGTGATCGTCACCCAATAAGTAGTAGAAACGGGTGGATGCTTTGTGATCCCCACCCGGTTAGTCATTAGAGAAAGGGGTGATGCTTTGTGATCATCATCCGACATTTATTAGAGGTGGGTTGATGCTTTGTGATCCTCACCCAACAGTGATTAGAGATGGGTTAATGCTTGGTGATCGTTACCCAAAAGTCATGAGAAACAGGTAAGTGCTAGGTGGTCTCTACCCGATAGTTACGAAAACCGAGTAGGCGCTTCGTGATCTCCACTCGGTAGTCACTGAGAATGGGTTGGTACTGTGTGAATTCCACCCGATAGTCATGGAGAGTGAGATGGTACTGTGTGAACACCATCCGGCCGTACCTCCGGTAAGATGAGGCCATGACGTTCAGTAGAAACAAGAAATAGACACAGAAATAGTATAAGGAAAGAATTAAGTGTAATATATACGGGGACAGACAGATAGAGGGTTTTACTTACTGAGCATTATTTTGTGCTCACCCCGTTATTTTCCTTTGTGGATGCAGGATCTAGGTGATGATGCAGTCGGAGGGACGTCGGCAAGCGAGGAGCAATAGCTACACTGTTTCCCCTGTTTTGTCTTTTAAAATGAATTTTTGTAAACAATACTCTTTGTGTATAAAAGACATATGACTTATAATAAAAAGAAAGTTTTGGGCCCAATTTTCTATTGTTATTATGCATGCATTGTACTAGTTTTCAGCAATTGTTACAAAAGCTTAGATTAATTCAATGTTTTGGTATTAAGCTTAACTTCATCAATTTATATCTTATTGTTATTAAATTTATATCTTAACTCACTGCTGCCAAATCAGCTTTATAGGAAATGTTATGGAATGAAATCAGTTTTAATTGGTACAACATTGCATTCAGACTTTATATTATTTTTGCAAAGGGATTTGTTTATTCCAATAGAGCATCTGTCATTCACCCCCAATCCAACGCACCCTTCCACTTCACGAATGCAACCAGTAGAAGATATCTTTGAAACCTGGTCTGATGACGATGCCACACCCATAGGCACACCCGGTGATGGTGTTGATGTTTCTACCCCTCGTACTAAAGAGGAGCAAGTTAATCCCTTTCAAAGGAAAAAGCAACCAAAGACATCAGCGGTTTGGAATAAATTTAAAGAGGTAGTTCTACCGGATGGTTCCACAAAGGGAGAGTGTATTCATTGTAAGGCAAAGCTCGTAATAACGGAGACCAAGAGCACAACTTAGTTTGCAAGATATTTGAAATCATGTTTGAAGCGAATAGGCAGTCAGACGCAAACACAGTTATTTTTTCGGCCAGCCAGTTTAACAGATGAAATCTCAATGCAATCTGCACTTGTATTTTCAGATTCCAAGTTTGATATGAACAAGATGCGGGAACTAGCTGCAAACTGAGTGCTTATGCACAAGCATCCATTTACAATTATGGAGGAGGAGGGTTTTAACATGATGCAAAAATGTGGTATGCCACTATGGGAAAAGATAACGCATACTACTTTAAAACAACATTGTGAGGCTGTGTATGAGATACAAAAGAAGAAGTTGGTTAATTTGCTCAAGAGTATTAACAAGACTAGTTTGACGACTGATCTATGGAATTCTTCTAATCAGAAGCTTGAGTACATGGTTCTCACCAGACATTTTATTGATAATGATTGGAAGTTGTAGAAGCGTGTGCTCAATTTTGTTCATATACCAGCTCCTCGACCTGATGTTGAGATTGCTGCTACTATTCATAAGTGTTTAATTGAATGGGGAATTGAAAACAAGGTGTTCAGTATCTCGGTTGACAATGTTTCAAGTAATGACGCAGCAATGAAGATTTTGAGGGAGAATTTAGGAAGAAACAAGAAGCTAGTGTGTGGTAAGAGGTTATTTCATGTGCGGTGCACGACACACATATTGAATCTCATGGTTCAAGATGGGCTTTCCCAAATTAAGCCCTTCATTCAAGACCTACGTGACTGTATTTTGTATGTCAAGCAATCAGAGACTAGAGCAATTATGTTTTTAGAGATTGTTCAGATGTTGCAGTTGCCCAAGCGGAAACTCATACTTGATTGGAAAACGAGGTGGAATTCTACTTATCAGATATTGACACTTGCAATTCAATACAGAGATGTGTTTCCAATGTTAGTTCAATTGGATAATAACTTTAATTTTGCCCCAATAGATGAAGATTGGGAAAAACTTAAGAAAGTGTGTGAGATTTTGGAAGCTTTCAACTCGGTAACTAATGTCATATCAGGGAGTGAGTACCCCACTTCTAACTTATTTTTGCAAGAAATTGTTGACATAAAAGAGTTGCTAGATGAAAAGTGTTATGATGATGATGATTTTATTCGATCAATGGTGGGAAAGATGAAAGAAAAGTTTGACAAGTATTGGGGGGAACGCAATTTCGTAATGGCAATTGCAGCTGTATTGGATCCGAGGTTGAAAATGAGGTTACTACAATTTGCCTACCCACAAATGTATCCTGATGAAGAAGCACAAGAAAAAATTGATGAAGTGCAAGCTGCCTTGTATGAGATTTATGAGGAATATGCAGCGGAAACTCAATCTTCCAACAGTGAACCACCTATAGAAATCAGTAAAGTTCAACGAGACAATGTACAACGCCCTAAACGTACTAGTTCACGGTTCTGCCAGTTTGTTAGAACAACTCAAACGGTGCAACATGAGAAATCTGAGTTAGATCGTTATCTAGAGGAGAAATGTTTGTTATGGGAAGAGGATGATACTTCATTTGATGCGTTACAATGGTGGAAGGTAAATCAAACGAACTATCGCATTCTATCTATGATGGCTCATGAAATACTTGTCATTCCAATCACCACAGTTGCTTCGAAGGCAACTTTCAGTGCGGGGAGTCGAGTTATTGACACTTATCGATCATTGTTGTCTCCCGATACCGTGCAAGTGCTACTCTGTGGTGGTGATTGGTGTCACAATCTCTATGGAGTCAAGAAAAGTTACAAAGTAAGTTTCATACTTCCATAATCCATTTTATTAAAATTATGTATTAATTTGTCATTTATTAACATTATTGAAACTAAAACAATTTTTTTTCCTTTTTGTTGTTTAGAAAGAGAAGACAAATGAGCAGTTTCAGCTTTCGATCCTATGAAGTTTTGGTAGAATCTTGACAAATTAGTGATAGTAAATATTGAACTTTTTATGAGAAATGAGTTAAACCATTAAAGTGATTGTTGAGTGTTGTTTCTTGGAAATGAGTTGGAGTCTGGTGAGTGAAGAGATGGTTTGAGTGGAGGGTTTAAATAGGGAAAGAAAGTTAATGGTTATAAATAGCATGGAAATGAATTAATGGTGAGTGCCTTATGCACATAATTATGAAAAGTTAATAGTTATGAATTGCTTGGTTTGCTACTGCCAAATGGTTCTCATTTTTGCTTTTGTTTTTTTTTTTTTTTTTTTTTTTTTTTCTATTTGGTAGCCAAATGGAACTGCAATATATTTGGTTGTGGGTCTATTTGTTGATGCTAGCTTGATTCAGTTGTTATATGATTTGTTTCTCTTTTTCTCCATGTAATCAGATCAACGTCAACTGGAGCTCAAGTAGGCAACCAACTGAGGTTTGTTTTTATCTCAGCTAGCAATTTTTTATTGCTTCGATACATTTTCAGTCTATAGGTATTTCCTTTTTTTTTTTTTCTTTTGTGGACCTGTTTGCTGAAAGATGATGCTCGTTGCTTTTTGGTAACAATTTTTAGATGTGTTTTGATGCTATATATAACAGCATGTGTTCACTCTTGGCAAACAGGTGAAGGCCAGCTGTGGGAAACACTCCCTCATACCACATGGAAATGTCAATCTGCAACTTCATTTGCTTTTGAAACATCAGCGACCGTTGTTCATGCTTTGGTCGTTTTTTAATGTGGAGTGTGTTTGATTGTTGAAAATGGCAGGGTTTTGTATTTTTTTTATGGTTAGTGTTGAGTTTTGTGGGTTTTGAGATGGTTTTGTAATTGGGTTTTGTGTGTTTGAGTTGGTAAGTGAAATGGGATTCTGGGTTTAGCTTCAGTTTGAGAATGTGTGTACTTGGTTAAGTTGTTGGGGCTTGATTGTTTAATCACGGAAGTTTTTNTTTTTTTTTTTTTCTATTTGGTAGCCAAATGGAACTGCAATATCTTTGGTTGTGGGTCTATTTGTTGATGCTAGCTTGCTTCAGTTGTTATATGATTTGTTTCTCTTTTTCTCCCTGTAATCAAATCAACGTTATTGGAGCTCAAGTGGCAACCAACTGAGGTTTGTTTTTATCTCAACTAGCAGTTTTTTATTGTTGAAAATGGCAGGGTTTTGTATTTTGTCTATGGTTAGTGTTGAGTTTTGTGAGTTTTGAGATGGTTTTGTAATTGGGTTTTGTGTGTTTGAGTCGGTAAGTGAAATGGGATTCTGGGTTTAGCTTCAGTTTGAGAATGTGTGTACTTGGTTAAGTTGTTGGGGCTTGATTGTTTAATCACGGAAGTTTTTTTCTGGTGCATTGTTAGACATTTGATGATTAATTGGTGGATATATCTGTTGAATTAGATTGAACATACTTTGTGGTTGCTGGGTTAGGCAGTAATGTGTTACGATTTCTGAAAATTGAATATAATATATTTGTTGTATGCAAATTTCAATGATTTGGGATGTTTTACATGTGCACAGGATGTTGAAGAAGGGTGTTGATGAAGGAATATGGTCTACAAAATTTGTTTCCCGATAGGTATTTTGTCTAAAGTTTCTGATTATTTGATAATTGGATCAACCTCATCACAAGGGAAAATCGGAGCAGACATAAAAATGTAATATGCTTACCCTATGGTCAACTTTGAATTCCACCATATGGGTTATATTTTAAGGTTCAACTTGCCTAGCTTAAAGGCATAACACCAGAAGGAAGATGGAATTTTGTCTACTTTTTTACAGTCTGAAACTGATTGTGGTTCTTTTACTTTTACTTCAGAACTGCTGATTGAGTGGTTTAAGCTTGATTAAGATCAAGATACATAGATATTGACAAGCATATAAATTATATCTATAACAAATTACTAAACTGTTCTTATTTTCCATTGATTTTATATTAAGTTACAAAACTATGTGGTATTTTATAGCAAAATAATACTCACTAACACTTTTGGAATTACAACATTGTTTTGATTATGAGTACATTCTTTGTATTGTACAAAGTGAAACTCAACAAGGACCTAGTTATTGCTTTGCCAGAATAAATTTTAATGCTGTGAAAACTAATCTTAATTTCCCATTACAACACGTTGTGAATTACAGACAAAAGTTATGCAAACGAGCTTGGCTCGCTCAAAACTTGACGAGCCGAGCCGAGCCGAGCTCAACCCATACAATTAATTAACCGAGCCGAGCTCAAGCTCACACCTTGTCTCACCAAGCCGAGCTCAAGCCAGCCATTACTCGGCTCGTATGCACACTTAATTAAACCAAGGCAAAAAGTTCACAACTAGGCATCAAATATTCGAATTACAACCAACAAATTTTCATATACCTCGAAAAGGTTGTAAACTACTTACAAACATTGCCTAAAACCACAAACCAAGAAATATGCAAGCTAAAACTACATAAATGTGAAATTGCAAATAAAAACCATGTCTCGAACAGTAAAAATCCAATTTTCCCCATGCCTAACTATGCCAAAGTGATAGTAGACATGATATCACGAATGCAATTTAGTCAGAGATAAAAAGTGGTAGAGTTATAGAAAATCGAGGTGAAAAGGTACATAAACAAAAAACAACATTCGAATTTCACTGAATAAAGAAAAAGAAGTATCCTGAAATTTTTTGGAAAGAAAATATGATAGAAGAAAAACTCAGTTATTGAAAAACTAACAGGATAGACAATTTTGAAAAACAATAAGAAACATATATAGAGCTGAAAGTGCATATGTAAGCTATATAAATAGAGCATGTTAAAGGTCCTTAACCTTTTTTGGAAAAATAGAAGCATACTTTGTAAGTGCGGCAAGCGATGCTTACTTTTGTCAGGCTTTGCAGAGGCACAAAATCACTAGTCGGCTCTATAACTTTTTGTGTGCAAACAAAAGCGTCTGGTGATCTCTTCTTTTTTGAAAGCAGCGCCTCATTCAAGCTCACAGTGACATCTCCAAAGGTAATATCCACATTTTGGATAATCACACCTGCTTCCCTACATCCAAAAGAAGTGATTACATAACTTTTAGTTCATACACTAAGCACATTCATCATCAAACCTAAGAAAACAAAATTTTATTTTTAAATAAGTGGAGATGAAAAAAAAAAAAAAAAAAAAAAAAAAAAGGATGGAGAGGCAAACATGAAGCGCAGATGAAATCTGTAAAGGAAATCCAATGGTAGCCTAAAGCTTTGAAGTTTATGAACGATATAGAGACAGTAACGAGAACAAAACAACAATAAAGCAAATCACAGATAATAAACACAGAGAAAATAACACGCGCAATTTACCTTGGTTCACCCAATATAGGCTATGTCCAACAGAGTCAATATTATTGCAATATTTCCTCACCTCTCTCTCTCGTTTACAATGAATGAATTGTCTTATGATTTGCTAACACACTCATAACAAGAGAAAAACATGTTTATATACTAGGTTTATATGACAAAACCTAGTTTACAAAGATTCATATTCTTAAGCCCAACCGAATAAGGAATTAATAACTTAAGGGAATCTTACAGCGGTTATACATGGAAAATGCCCAAAGCGGCTACGGGTCGAGAGGCGTTGCCCCCACGACCCCCGCCCGCTCAGCAGGACCCCCGAATGTGTCTGCGTAACCCAATAATGTTAAAATAGTTGATAACTCCAACATTCTCCCACTTGGCGAATACTTCACACAATGAAGGCCTACCTCATCAACACACCATGTAATCTTAGCTAAGCTCACAGTCTTGTTAAGAAAATCTGCAGCATTAACAAGTGTATCAACCTTCTCTAACAACACCAATTTTTCCTCCACCTTTTGCCTGATGAAATGGTATTGTATGTCAATGTGTTTTGATCACGAATGAAAGGCAGGATTCTTGGCTAGCTAAATAGCCCCTTGATTGTCACACCCTATCTTCACAGCATCAAGCTTGAAACCAAGCTCTAAACTTAATCTTCGAAGCCACATAGCTTCCTTGCCAACATGTGTCAATGCCATATATTATGCCTTAGTCGATGACAAAGCCATAATATTTTGCCTTTTAATCATCCAGCAAACAACATCACCAAATAAAGTGAATACATACCCACTTGTAGAACACCTACTACCGAGATCACCTCCCCAATCAGCATCCACAAAACCTATCACCTCTAGCTCATCCCTAGTTGCCATGCCCCCATAACATAATGCTAAATCAGAGGTCCCACACAGATATCTAAGAACCAACTTTACAGCACTCCAATGCTCTTTGCCAGGATTTGACATAAAACGACTTAAAACTCCCACTACTTGTGCAATATCAAGTCTCTTGCACACCATGGCATATATCAAACTACCTATAGCACTAGCATAAGGCACATGTGTCATTTCTTCAGCATCTTCCTCAGACTTAGGGCATTGATCAATAGAAAATTTCACTCCCAAAGTCATAGTAGTCTTCACAGGTTTGCAATCTACCATGTTGAATTTCTTCAACACTTCCTCAATGTACTTTCTCTACCCTAATCACAATTTACAACTCTGACGATCTCTTGTAATTTGCATACCCAAAATAAAATATGCAGCTCCAAGATACTTCATGTCAAATTGTGCAGCCAACAAACCCTTCACAGAGTTTATTATCTCCTTGTTAGTCCCTATCAACAACATATCATCTACATATAAGGTTAAAATAACTAAGACATTTTCTAACATTTTTACATAAAAACAGTGATCCACGTTACTACAGTTAAAACCATGCTGAAGAACATAAGAGTTGAACTTCTGGTACCAGATCCTTGGTGATTGTTTAAGCTCATACAACCCCTTCCTCAACCTACACACCAAGTCTTCCTTCCCTTTACATACAAACCCCTCAGGTTGCCTCATGTAAATTTCCTCCTCTAAATCTCCATGCAGGAATGTCTTCTTTATATCAAGTTACTCAATTTCAAGATTATACGCAGAACCAATAGATAGAACATACCTGACTGATGTTAACTTGGCCACAGGAGAGAAAATCTCACTATAATCAACACCCTCAATCTGCGAGAATCCCTTTGCAACAAGCCTCGACTTATACTTTGCAATTGTTCCATCTGCCTGCAGCTTTCTTTTGAACACCCACTTTCAACCAATTGCCCTTCTATCCTTAGGCAATTTACATAAAACCTGTGTATTATTCTTGTACAGTGACTACATCTCTTCATTCATTGCGAGCTCCCACAGATTTGCATCTTCCATGGCTCTAGCTTCATTTACATTCCTAGGTTCATCACCTGTCACACTCAAAGCATGGAATCCACTCAAGGCACTTAGAGAGAAACGAACTGGCGTCCTTCTAACTCTTATAGATCTTCTCAAAGTTGGCAACACCACAACTTTATCATCAGAATCATCCTCTGAACCATCCACATAACCCTCATCAGCCACACTATTAAATTTATCTTCATGATCAGATTCTGTAGGCTCTACATTATCAATCTCTGCAGCAACATTAGGAGTCACCTCCTCCTCTTGCTCTACTGTAGTCACATCAAACTGGACTTTCTTTGACTGTTCAGGATCTTCAGGAGCTCCCACAGGTTGTTCTACCTTTCTAAAAATAACATCTCTGTTATAGATAATGCTTCTACTCACAGGATTCCACAACTTGTACCCCTTGATGCCATCCTTGAACCCCACAAACTTGCATTTCTCAGATTTACTGTCAAGTTTGTTTCTTTTCTCCTTTGGCACATGCACATACGTATCACTAGAGGTGGAACATTTGGGCCGGGTTAGGCGGGTCAACCTTAACCCGGCCCGTAAAGAAGTGGGTTAAACCCAACAGCAACCCCCAGGCAGGCCGGGTTGCACAATGGCAACCCCTGTTTTGTCTCTTTTGCAAGAGACTTGCCAACCCGCCAGGTTGGCCGAAAAAAATAAAATAAAAAATAAAATATTTTATTTTATTTTTCAAATTACCCCTTTACCCTTGAAATATAACCGTTTTATAGCTGTTGGAAGGGTCTTTTTCGTCATTTTTCTTTCCCATTTTTTCCAATAAATTTGTCCTAAACTCTCACATTTTTCTCACAACTCAAATTCTCTCATCTTCTCAAATTCTCTAATCTCTTCTCTCTCAATTATTCATTTATTCTCTTAATCTCTTTGTTATCAATTTGCTCATATTTCCAATTTTCCAAATTCCAATTTCCATATTCCAATTCTCTTTCTTTAATTTTTATTTCTTCTACATCAATTTTTTTTTCAACTACAATGGATTAATTTTTATTAGTTTTTGCAATTTTTAATTTATATTTCCAATTTTCCAAATTCCAATTTCCATATTCCAATTCTCTTTCTTTAATTTTTATTTCTTCTACATCAATTTTTTTTTCTAACTACAATGGATAGATATTTCTCTCCCATCAATTACAATGATGACGGAAACTACTATCTTAGTCCTAGTCCTGCTGATTTTACTAATATAAATGCAGGAGGAGATTCAAATAGTCTCGCTTTCCCATTCTTAGAATCCGATACACCTTAAAATATGCCCCGATTCCAACAGCTCCCGGTGGTTTTAGAAGTCGTCCTCGTAATCGTCGTGCTCGTCCAACTTCATCTCAAGCTGAGGCGGGATCATAAACTGCCGTCGAAAGCGAAGACAGACACACATCAGACGTTTGGGCGCATTTCGACAAGTTTTACGAGACAGAAAATGGCGTTCAAGTCAAGAAAGCGAGATGCAAATACTGTGAAAATATTTATAAAGCTGATTCAGGTAATGGTACTAGTACTTTAAAAAGGCATGCTAATAAACATATTAATCAACATGGAAATAGAGAAAGCAATCAAACTCAAATAACTAATATGGGTACTAATTGGCGTTATAATTCTGATGTATATAGGGAACAGTTAGCTTTATATATTGCTGCAACTGATCAACCTATTAATATGGCTGAAGATAAATATTTTGAAAGATTTGTTCAAAATTCATTTTTTCCAGGATTTAAAAGTTATTCTAAAACTGCAACTAGAAATGATTTAATAAAATTGTTTAAAAAAATGAAATTAGAATTAAAAAATAAATTTCATACTTGTCATATTAGTGTGGCTTTAACTGCCGATATTTGGAGTGGTAGAGCTAAACAAGATTATATTTGTGTGACTAGTCATTATTTTGATAATGAATGTAAATTAAATAAATCTTTATTAGGATTTAGATTAATGGATGTTGATCATAGTGGTGAACAAATTTATAATAAAATTGTTGAAGTTTTAAAAGATTATGATGTTGTTAGTAAAGTGATAAGTTTAACTTTAGATAATGCAAGTTCTAATAGTAAAACTATAGATTATTTTCAAAGTAATTATCCTTTATATAACAATTTGAAGTTTTTTCACCAACATTGTACATGCCATGTTATTAATTTAATTGTGAAAAGTGGTATGAAAACAATTAAAGAAAATATTAATAGAATTAGAGATTGTTTAGTTTGGATTACTAGTAGTAATAAAAGAAATGCTGAATTTTAAGACGCTTGTATAAAATCAAATATGTTTCCTAGAACTTTTGCATTAGACATGCCTGTTACATGGAATAGTACTTATTTAATGCTTGATTCATGTTTACCTTATGCTAATATAATTAGTTATTTTGTAGCAAATAATAGAAGTCCCTATTATTTGGTAGAAAATGATTGATAAATAGCTAAAGTATTTCATTCTTTTCTTAAAACTTTTTACCAATCCACTTTACAACTTTCTGATGTATATTATCCTACTAGTTCATTGGTAATACATACAATTATAAAAATTTTCGAGTTATTTATAAAAAACAAAGACAATGTAATTTTAAATGCACCAATAAAGGTAATGGAAAAAAAAAAATTTAAATATTGGGAACCCATTCATTTTCTTTATTGTTTAAGTGCTATATTTGATCCTATAATTAAATTAGTACGTTTAGAAAATGGTTTTGACAATTTATGTGAAAATTTACAAACCGAAGCATATGCCAATCAAATAGAAGAGGTAAAAAAATACACTTTTTGAAGTATATTTCCAGTATGAAAACAGGTATGGGAACCCACAAAGAGGCAAAACATCTAGGGAAGCTGCATCAGAAGAAACAAATGAAGATTTCTACTCTTGGGGTGCACTGAATAGGTCGAAGAGGACCCGAATCCGAAGCACAACCTCATCTTCAGAAGCTCCACCAACAATAACAACTAATGTACTGTCTTCCATGCAGTCGCAGAGTAATGAGCTTCAATAATATTTGACAACCCCTGAAATGTTACCAGTAGATCCACAACAGAGAGCCAACATTGATCTCTTAAACTATTGGAGAGCCAGAAAATGTATTTTTCCGATATTATCAAGACTTGCCTTGGATGTTTTCGCTGTTCCTGTCTCATCCGAACAAACATTTAGTGCAAGTGGAAGAATTTTAAATGAAAGGAGGACTAAACTTTCATCACAAATGATTGAAGTCCTCACATGTCTTCGAGATTGGGAACGGTCGCGCCATCAAGGTCAATACGAGATTGTCGACGATACTTTATTAGAATCATTTCAATTTTGTAATATAGATGATACGGATGAGAGATGTCCTAGTGAACCCCAAAATTAGTTGTTTTGTAAATTAATTATCAATTATTGCACTCTTTTTCCTTACCAAGTTTTTGTCCTATTGGGTTTTTCTTGGTGAGGTTTTTAACGAGGCAATAATTATTGTAATTTCTTATTTTATTTTTTAATAAATGAATAAATTTAATTATTCTTATATTACAATTTTAATACATTAAAATTGAATTAAAATTTGGAATGTTAACCAAAAAAAAATTAATTTAACTTAATTATTGATATTTGAAAAGAAATTAACAATTAACTAAAAACAATTACATTTATAAATTGTTAATTATTCATTTGAAAAGTTAATTAAACATTTAAACTTAAACAAAATAAAACAAAAAAAAAATTTTAAAAAAAAAAGATATCAAAAAGCGAATTAACCTGGCCCAACCCGCGCCTAACCCGGCAGGTTAGGGTTGGCGGTCCGGGTTGGGCCAGCCAATTCCCTAATATTGGCGGGCCTAACCAAGCCCGCCAATGTCACTGGGAGGGTCAGGACCGACCCACCATTAACAGCAACCCGCCGCGAGCCTGGTCGGGTCGGGTCGGGTCGGGCGGGTTGCTTTTCCACCTCTACGCATCACAACCAAAAACTCGAATAAAAGACAGATTAGGCTTCTTACCATACAGAGCTTCATACGGTGTCATGTCTTTAACAAAAGAGGTAGGAGACCGATTTTCAAATAACAGGCCATTGCAGTAGCTTCAGCCTAAAATTCAAACCCCAAATCTATCATATTCAGCATACATATAGCCTTCTCTAACAGTGATTGATTGAGATGTTCAACCACTCCATTCTGCTGAGGCGTGTAAGGTGTAGTTTTCTGCCTTGCAATTCCGTGTGTCGCACAAAATTG